GTTAAGTACAGAGAGACATTTCATTATATGGGCTGCCAAGTGGAACCAAAATGGATATCATGGGGGTATGACTTCAGAATTTGGGTCTAAGGATATGATGCTTTGGAAAGGGTCTTCTTTTATTTTCACAGAGGACCAGACCCTGTGGGTTGCATCTATCCCAATTTGGTATGATAGACCATGACCTCCCGAAAAGTTGCTGTGAATGCCCTCAAAAAATTACTTCACTCAACTGCCAACTGAGATAAACCTGGCACACAGGTTACACCCTAAATTCTCTGATTAACAGCGCCCCCATTCAGCAGGAAGCAATTTGGAGTGAAAAAACTGTGCCCATGTTCCCAAAATAATGTTTATAAATGTTCTTTTACATTTAAAGGGGGAAATGATATAGGTATGAATAATTTGTATTGGTATGGATTTTACAGTCAATTTTGTTATATGTATATGTATTTCTGATCTTGAATAAGGTGTTGTGATTGTGTAGTTCATTTTTAAAATGTAATGTATAATAGGAAATAGAGGTTGCTAATGGATAATCATCGATGATGGTAAAGTTTGTAGTCATGTTACTTAGATTTTCTAGATGTATAGAGATATATTTCAGATAGGCATTCTTCATATCTCTCAAAGGCTACTGAATATGGCATTTAAAATATTTTAATAACTTAGGACTTTTCATGACAATGAGACATGTCTGCTCCTGGTGGCACCAATCTATTTCAAGAGGAAGATGAGCATTGAAGAGGCTCATTATGGAGTTTGATAGCCATTTGGGCAAGAAACTGCTCTTGCCTGGACTGATGCATAAACTGGACACAAAGAACCCGCAGAGAGAGGACTGCTGAACTTGCCTAAAGGTGAGATGGTCTTTCGGGGTTCATGACTCATGAAAGAGTCTGCGAGACATTCTGCAGGACACAGCAGATAGTGACTGAACTGTCTTTGGAATTTCCTGCTTCATGGAAATGTCTGCTGGATACTTTGGGCCTGAAGGCTGAAGATGGATGCCCCAACGGTACAAAAGAACTTTGGGTGACTGTCCAGGCAGCGAGATGTCTCTGTCATTTCTAGAGTTTTCTTATTTCTTGTTTACTTAGGTAGTATTATACCCTTCTGGAGTCTTTGATGGAGTTGAAGAATGAATAGATAGTTATAGTTTTCCTTAGTTATGATAAAAGATAAAATAGATATAAATATTGTAACTGTAATTCTTGCTTGATAACTGTTTTGCTATATGTAATTTTGCTATGTTAAAGTTAAAGCCTTCCTTTTTTTGTTTAAACAGAAAAAGGGGAAGTGATGTGGGAGTGCCATATATCAATCTGTTGATTTCATTGGTTAAGCAATAAAGAAACTGCTTGGTCCTCATAGGTGGGAGGAGTAAACAGAACAGAAGGCTGGGAGAAAGAAACTGAGTCAGGAGTCGCCATGATTCTCCCACTCCAGACAGACACAGGTTAAGATCATTCCTGGTAAGCCAGCTCGTGGGCTACACAGATTATAAGAAATGGGCTAGTCCAGGTGCGAGAGTTAGCCGAGAAAAGGCTAGATATAATGGGCCAAGCAGTATTTAAAAGAATACAGTTTCTGTGTAATTATTTCGGGTATAAAGCTAGCCGGGTGGCGGGAAGCAGCCCTGCCACTCCTTATTACAACATAAGAGTCTTGAAAATCAATAACAAACAAAATCCATATTCAATGTACACAAAATAATAAAATTATTTATTACATATTTATAATAAAATTATTATTCTATAATAAAAATTATGAAAACATTAATACAATAAAAACAAGAATAACAAAAAATAGTTCAAATTATTTAATCTAAGATCTGGTTTTGAAAAATGCAAGGAAGATTGATAGAAACTTTACTGGATTAACCAAATAAAAGAAAGGGATGGCAAAAATTAACAAAATCAGAGATAGAGAAACATTACAATAAAAAACTCAAAGTAATGTAAGTGAATACTTTAAAAACTTGTATTCCAATGAGTTAGAAAACCTAAAGGAAATGCATTAACTTCTAGATTCATCCAAAACCACCAAAGTCAATAAAAAAGAGACAAACACTTTAAACTGGCTAAACAAATAAGGAAATTGAAACAGAATATACAAAGAACTCAGGAAATAAAATCAGCCAAACAAAGCTTACTCCCCTCCCTTAAAAACATTGAGAAAACAAACGAGCCAACTAAAAACTAGGCTAAGGATCTGAGCAGACAGTTGGCAAAAGAAGAACTAAAAAATACTAGGAAATAACTTTTAAAAATATTCCATATCTTTAACCCATGGAGGATGAAAATTCTAACCATATCAAGATTTCGTCTTACCCCCATGAGAATGGGTAAGATAAAAAAAAATTATCTTGATAAATACTGATGTACATGTAAGGGAGGGGGAATACTTAGTCATTGTTGACAAGAACACGGAGTAGTACAATCACTGTGGAAATCACTGTGGGGAAGTCTCAAAAACCTGGAAAGTGATTTGTCATAGATCTGTACTTCTCCTTGGAATATATCGAAAGCACTCCATATCGTACAGCATATATACTTTCTCTGTCATGTTCATTGCAATCATATTCACTATAGCTAGAAAATAGGAGGAGCCTCGATGTCCTTGAAATGATGAACAGAAAATGAAAACGGGGTTTGTATATAGCAGAATCCTATACAGCTGTGAGAAAACAATGAAATTTGGAAATAAATCGATGGAACCAGAAAAATGTAATACTGAGAGAAGTAACCCAGATCCAGAAAAACAAAGATGTCATTTATTTGTCAATCTTGGATCCAAATTTGTACATTTGAGAATAGTTTGAAGCAACTCCAGATACCAGGAAATTAGAAGGGGAGCTTGATGGGAGGGGAGAATGGGAACTATAAGGGCAGAAGTATAACAAAGGGGAAAGGGAGAAATGCGGGCGATCTTAACTAAGGAGTCAGGGGATGAAGGTAACACAGAGGAGATGGAAAAAGTGGAGTCAAATAACATAAAGGATATATTTAAAGAGTCATGTTAAAAATTTATATGAAGCATTTACCTAAAATATGTGTTAAAGCCCCAATCCCCATGGACTTCTACTACTCAGGTGCAGATCACAGCAGTAAGAATAGGTAAGTAACCCACCTGCCAGCTGCACTACCCTAGTCTCTAGATTCTGTTCCCAAATTCCCATGCCACTACCAACCACTCCCACCTCATCACAAGCCTTGAGGTCTGTCCACACCCTCAACCACAGGGAGCCCCCATTGCTCAGATACAGGCCACACCAGTCATAAGAATGGATCCAGGCCATATAGGTCAGAAAAATAGATACAGGCCCTACCTATCAGAAAAACAGTCCTCCTGCTGCACCAAGGTCAAGATAACTGACAAAGGACCAGCTCCTAACTTGGATAGATATTCTCTCACAGGCCTGAGGCAGTGAACTCCATAGGAACAGGACTGAGACAGCGAACTCCACAAAAGCAGGACTGAGCCAGTGACCAGAGCAGGCCTGGGACAATGAACTCCATGTGAGCAGAAGCAGATCCAGATCAGGAAAAATTGCAGAAGCAGGACTGGTCCAGCAACCTAGGCCAGAGCCAGCCTACGACAGAAAAACTTCACAGAAGCAGGTACAGGGGAACAACCGCCAGAGCCAGAGATTGCTGCTGGTACAGGCATGAATCTGGGACCTCCAAGGGAGTAGACATAAGCCAGGTTCTCTACGGATCTGGGCATGAGTCTGGGACCTCAGAGCAACTAGGCCTGAGGTAGGACCTCTGTGGGTCTGGGTGTGAGTCTGGAACCTATGAATAAAGATCAAATTGAAGGCCAAAATCAATAAAATAGAAACAAAGAGAAAAATACAAAGAACTAATGAAACAAACAAGTGGTTATTTTAGAAAATCAACAAGATAGACAAAACTAACTAAAAGACCAAGTAAGAAAATCCAACTTAAGAAAGTTAGAAATGAAAATGAGGATAAAACAATGGGCACTGGGGAAATCCAAAGAATGATAAGGACGTATTTCAAAAACCTGTACTCCACAAAATTGGAAAATCAGAAACAGACAATTTTCTTGATAGATACCACTTACCAAAGTTAATCAAGATGAAATAAACAATTTAAATACATCTATAACCCCTAATGAAATAGAAACAGCCATTAAAATCTCCCAACTAAAAAAAATAGCCCTGGGTCATATGGTTTTACTGCAGAATTCTACCAGACATTCAAAGAAGAGATAATACTTATGCTCCTCAAATTATTCCACAATACAGAAACAGAAGGAACATTGTCAAATTCGTTGTATGAGACCACAGTTATGCTGATTCCCAAACCACACAAAGATACAAGGAAAGGGAATTACAGATCAATTTTCCTCATGAATAATGATACTGAAATACTAAATAAAATACTTGCAAACTGAATCCAAGAACACACCAAAACGATAATCCACAAAGATCAAATAGGCTTCACCCCAGAGATGTAGGGATGATTCAACATATGAAATTTGTCAATGTAATTTACCACATGACCGAACTGAAAGAAAATATCCACATGATCATCTCATTAGATATTGAAAAAGCCTTTGACAAAATTAAAAACACTTTCATGATCAAAGTCTTGGAGATACCTAGAAAACAACAGGCAGACCTAAACAAATGATTACTGGGCTGAGAAAGAAATCAGGTCAACAAGCACCCTTCATAATAACCACAAATAACATAAAATATCTCGGCATAACTTTAACCAAGCAAGTGAAAGACATGCATTATAAAAACTTCAAGTCTTGGTCGGGAGAGTGAATTGCTTTGCTCAGCTCCTCAGCCTCTTGGGCCATTTGGAGCCTCGGAGCCTCTTTAGCGCCGGAGTTCGGGCCGCAGGCAGCTGGCGAGCAGAGCCTCTGGATGGAGTCTTCCTCGGAAGCTTTGCTAATTTGCAGCAGCTGGGCAGTGCTCCTCATTACCATCTGTCTGTCCGCATAGTTCAGCGTCATTTCATTGTGGTGGCAGGTACTCTGCTCCGAATTCTGTATAGAAAAAGCTCCTGGATCCCAGTCTTTCAATGGCTTTGAGACAACCAGAAGTGCCTGCTCTTGCGTCCAGTGGGCCTCTAGGCAAGATGTCCCTGCCCATCGGGGTGTGCCGCCGGGCATTCAGCTATGATGATGCCCTAGAGGACCCTGCGCCCATGACTCCTCCTCCATCGGACATGGGCAGCATCCCCTGGAAGCCAGTGATTCCAGAACGCAAGTATCAGCATCTTGACAAGACAGAGGAAGGAGCGGCCAGTGTCTCTTCCCTTGCTGTGACTTCATCAACAGCCACTGACAGTTCAGACAAGGCCCCTGTGGTGAAGGCCAAAGCTACCCATATCATCATGAATTCCCTTATCACAAAACAGACCCAGGAGAGCATCCAGCGTTTTGAGCAGCAAGCAGGACTGAGAGATGCTGGCTACACACCCCACAAGGGCCTCACCACTGAGGAGACCAAGTACCTCCGAGTGGCAGAAGCACTCCATAAACTAAAGCTGCAGAGTGGAGAGACAACAAAGGATGAGAAGCAGCCTGCATCGACCCAGTCCACCCCGAGCAGCACCCCTCACTCCTCCCCTAAGCAGAAATCCAGAGGCTGGTTCCCCTCTGGCTCTTCCACAGCTTTACCTGGCCCGAATCCTCAAACCATGGATCCTGGGAATGGAAATGACAAGAACTCAGTAGACAAGTGGAGCCTCTTTGGACCACGGCCCCTGCAGAGGTCTGACTCTGCAGGTTTTGCCATCCAGGCTTACAAAGGTGCCCCGAAACCCTCTCCTATGGAGCTAATGCGTGCCCAAGCCACACGAGTAGGTGAAGATCCAGCAACCTTCAAGCCGCCTAAGATGGATATCCCAGTGGTAGAAGGGAAGAAACAACCACCTCGGATCCATAATCTCAAACCCCGTGACCTGAATGTGCTCACACCCACTGGCTTCTAGAATGCTTTCTGTCCAGGGTCTGTGGTTTTCCCTGGGCTCTGATATAGGAGTTACATAGTTAACTGGAGGCCTGAGTGACATTGTGCAGATTGTCCTTGTGTGCAACCATTTTGCACTGCTTTTAGGTTGGTAGAATATGTCAGTGGTGCTGAGTGACCTCACCTTTTTTTAATCACTTATCCTAGGGAAGGACTTTGACCCTTGCTCTCCTAGATAAATAAGTGCTGGTGTGCTGGATTCCTTTTCCTTGATCAACATGGGCAGTTACAAATCATGATAGAGGTGCCCACCAACTCATCTGGACAGCCATGGCTTCCTGACATGCTTTTTTAGCCTTGTGAGTAGGCCTGGACTTGTCTGAGAGACCACACTTGGCAGGACCACAAGTTCTTTGTCTTGATTAGTCCGGTGTACACTTTGTCCTCCTGGGCCCCCGTAGTTGAAGGCCTACTTACTTGCTGTGTCACAGAACAAACACTAGTCTCACATGGCCTCTTTTGCACTTTAACAGGAAATTAATTGAACTGAGTCTACTGGTTTCATACTGATGATTTCCCCCTCCACCCCACTGGAGATTGAATCTAGGGTCTTGCTCTACCAAGTTAAGTTTCACCCTAGTTCCTGGATCTTAAGCTTTTCTTAGTTATGTGTGTTTTGTTTTATGAGACAGGGTCTCGCTATGTAGGCTTGGCTAGGCTGGAACTCACTCATTAGACTCAAAGAGAAGATCTACTGCCCCTGCCTCCCTGTGCTTGGATTAAAGGCATTCACCACCACAGCCAGCTAAAACTTTTGTTAGAGATGATAAGTACAATTGGATTATAGTCTTCAGGTTCACCTGAATTTGGTGTCACCTTATTCTGGTAACTTTGAGACCATTTTCCACCAAGTTAGCCTCATCTGTTCGGTAACGCATCTTACTGAGGAGAGGAAGCAAGAAAACTGCTTTTCTCTCTTCTCATTGTCCACAGGTCTGCTGGTCTTGGACACTGTCACAGCTGCTTGCTAGATCATTTTAGATAGTAGTCTGTTTACATAATAACCTTCTCACAGGGAAGCTCTGGAGTCTCAGATTGTTGTAAAAATTAATTTATTTGTGTTATCTTGTATTGACAATAAAAATCTTTACTACTTTCTCAAAAAAAAAACTTCAAGTCTTTGAAATAGAAAATTGAAGATAATTTCAAAAGATGAAAATATCTTCCTTGTGCAGACACCAGTAGAATTAACATAGTAAAAACAGCCATCCTACCAAAAGCAGTTGACAAATTCAATGCCACCCCATCGAAATACCAGTATAATTTTTTACAGAACTTAAAAGATCAATATTCAACTTTATATGGGGAAAAAGAATTGCTAAAACAATCTTATACTGGTGTGAGAAGTCCTTATGTATATGTGTTGCTTTTTTAAATCAATTGATAAAGCTGTTTTAGCCAGTGGCTTAGCAGAATGGAGCTAGGTAGGAAAACTAAACTAAAATCTGGGAAAAAGAAGGCAGAGTCAGTAAGAAGCCATGTAGCCCTTCCAGAGACAGACACCAGATGGAACTTTACCCAGTAAGCCACAGTCATGTGGCAATATACAGATTAAAGAAATGGGTTAATTTAAAATATAAGAGTAAGACAGAAATAAGCTTAAGCTATTGGCCAAACAGTATTGCAGATAATATAGTTTCTGTGTGATTATTTCAGGTCTGAGCTGTCAGGAATGAACAAACAGTGTCCCCCAACACTATGCAATAAAAGAACTCTTGAGGCATCCCTGATTGCAAGCTATACTACAGAGTTGTAGTAATAAAAACTGCAAGAGGTATAAAAACAGACATGTTGATCAATGGAATCAAATAGAGGGTCCAGACATATATACATGCAACTATTGACACTTGATTTTTAATAAAGAAACTGGAAATATACAAGGCAAAAAAGAAAACATCTTTAACAAATAGTGCTGGTGTAACTGGATATCTGCATGTAGAAGAATGCGAATAAATCTGTCCTCGTTGCTCTGCACAAAACTCAAGTGGATCAAAGACTTCAGCATAAATCCAGGTACACTAAGCCTATAGAAAACAAAATGGAGAATAGCCTTGAACACACTGACACAGGAGACAACTTCCTAAATAGAACATGAATAACACAAGCATTAAGAATAGCAATTAACAAATGGGTCATTGTAAAACTGAGAAACTTCTGTAAGGCAAAGGGTGTCATCAATTAGAAAACACAGCAACCTACAGAATGGGAAAATATCTTCATCAACACAACATCTAACAAAGATCTGATCTCCAAAATAAGTAAAGAATCCAAGAAATGTGATGTTCAAAAAACAGATAACCCAATTAAAAATAGGGTACAGATCTAAATAGAATTCTCAATAGAGGAAACTCAAATTCCCAAGAAACTCTTAAAGAAATGTTCAACATACTTAGCCATCAGGGAAAGGCAAATCACCTTACACCTGTCAGAATGGCTAAAACCAAAAACACATGTGACAACCCATGCTGGAGCAATGGAGGTGTGGAACATGGTGGACACTCCTCTGTGGAGTCCCAAAAATGTGAGCCTATTTCCACCTTGTCTGATGGTAAGAGAGTTTGGAGGTTGCTGAAAATTATTGACAACAATCAGAGCTACAGGATGTAGTTACTTGGCTCTTTTGACATTAAGATGGCATATACAGGTAGATCTGCTCCATCCTGACAGATGGTCAGGATATGCAAGCATATTTCTGCTCTTTCTTTTCTAATAGGAGGTTGCCTGGGGAGTGGCTGCTTTTATGACACTTGGTTAGTATGGCTTTAATGCCTAACAAACAGAATACCAATGACTTGATCTCTCAAAGTGTTAAAGCAATTAACTGTTTGAGTTATTCTATCATATTAAAGAAGTCTTCTGTTGCCTTCTTCCTCCTTTTGCATTGGAGTATAAAAGTGTATGGAAAAATTAAACACGAGTGATTTCAGTTTTCACTGGAACTCCTTCCAGATACTATCCTATGATTCAGTTTTTATTATTTTTACTCGTGTCTCTATATTCTTTACTAACTTTTCTGATCCTCATGTCCCTACCCTTGCCAGTAGTATTTTTGTGGAGAATGGTCTTCTACACTCCTCAACTGCTGGTGGAAGTGCATACTTGTACAGCCACTTTGGAAATCAATATGAGAGTTTCTGAAAATATTGGGAATTAATTTACCTGAAGATACAGCTATACCACTCCCAGGAATATACCCAATGGATGATCCATTCTATCACAAGGACACTTGCTCAACTATGCTCATAGAAGATTCATTTATAATAGCCAAAAATGAGAGACAAACTAGATGTACCTTTATTGAAGAATGGATAATAAAATATGGTATATTTTCACAATGGGGTGTTACTCAGTTGTTAAAAACAAGGTCATCATAAAATTTGCAGGCAAATGGCTGGAACTTGAAAAAACTCCTGAGTAAGGCAACCCAGACTCAGAAAAAAAAGCATGCCATGTATTCACTTATAAGTGGATATTCGCTGTAGAATAAAAGATAATCATGCTACAGTCCCCAGACCCAGACAGTCTAAGTAACAAGACACAGCACTCTAAAGGGACATGTGGCTCTCCCAAGAAAGGGGAAATAGAATAGATTTCATGCATGGTCAGGGGAAGGTGTGGTTGCAAACAGGAGGGGTAGGTGTCCTTCCACTTGGGGCCTTGCCTGGTTATAAAAAATGAATAGTTCAGGTTATGTATCCCCCACTAATAGTAGTGTTTGTTAGGATATCTCTCACAGATTCCATAGAGTTTCCCTTACACTAGGTTTCCAACTCAACCCCCCAAATACCCCCAAATTCCATTACCTGGTCCCCATAGGCTTGTAACAATATCATAATGAAAAACGTGTTTATTCCAACTTCAAAGGTCCCCATAGTCTGAACACATGATTTCTGACAAAGAAGCCAAAATTATACAATGGAAAAAGGAAAGCATCTTCAACAAATGGTGCCATCATAACTGGATGTTTGCATGTAGAAGAATGCAAACAAATCTGTCCTTATCACTCTGCACATAACTCAAGTCCAAGTGGATCAAAGATCTCAACAAAATTTCAGTTACAGTAAACCTGATAGAAGAAAAAGTGGTAAAGAACCTTGAATGCATTGGCACAGAAGACAACTTCCTGAATAGAACAACAGTTGCACAGACACTAAGATAAACAAGTAATAAATGAGACCTCATGAAACTGAAAAGATTCTTTAAGGCAAAGGACGCTGTTAATAAAACTAAACAGCAAGCCGGGCGATGGTGGCGCACTCCCAGCACTCGGGAGGCAGAGGCAGGCGGATCTTTGTGAGTTCGAGGCCAGCCTAGTCTACAAGAGCTAGTTCCAGGACAGGAACCAAAAAGCTACGGAGAAACCCTGTCTCAAAAAATCCAAAAAAAAAAAGAAATAAAACTAAACAGCAGCCTAGAGAATGGGAAAAGATCTTCACCAACCCCACATCTGGTAGATGACTGATCTTCAAAACGTGTAAAGAAGTCAAGAAACTTGATATCAAAAAACATATAATCTAATGAAAAATGGGCTACAGATCTAAACAGAATTCTCAATAGCAGGCATAAATGTCTGAGTGACACTTAAAGAAATGTTCAGCATTCTTAGGCATCAGAGAAATGAAAATGAAAATGAGTTTTTGATATTCTGTCTTATACCTGTCAGAATGTATCAGACATAAAACATAAGTGACAACTCATGCTAGAAAGGATGTGGAGCAAGGGGAATACTCCTCAACTGCTGATGGGAGTACAGCTGCTTTAGAAACCAATCTGGAAGTCTCTCAGAATATTGGGAATCAATCTACCTCAAGACCCAGCTATACCACTCAGACATATATCCCAAGGATGCTCAACCACACCACAAGACCCTTTCTCAACTATGTTCATAGCAGCATTATTTATAATAGCCAGAATCTGGAAACAACCTAGATGCCCCTCAATCAATGAATGGCTAAATAAAGT